CACAAGCCTGGAGGCTCAAACAGAAGCCCAAGAAGCACCGCCCCTAGTGGCCAACTCCCAAGAACAGAACCTACCTGCCTGCCCTGTACATTTCCTTGACGAATGCGCTGGACATACCTCCACCACCATACCTCATTACTGCCACAGTCAGTCTGCACCAACACAAGCCAGGAGGCTCAAACAGAAGCCCAAGAAACACCGCCCCTGGTGGCCAACTCCCAAGAACAGAACCTACTTGCTCTCTCTACATCTCCCCCCCCCTCTCCTTGACCCCTATCAACTGGGGTTCTTGCGCTTGGTGTTCGGCGTCAAGATGGGGGCCCTCTCTTGGTGATATAGGTCCCATCACTTCATCACTAGAGTCGGGAGTTTGCCTCGACGAATCAACCTTCCAAATTTATTGGTAAATCGCCAGGCTTGTCGTAGTTTACAGCAATGACTTGAAGAGGATCCTCAGTGCCCACTTCTCAGTGCTCGCCAGCCGCCTGTACCCCATGGCTCAGAAGAGCGCCTAGCGTCATTAGCATAAGCTGACCGGTAACTTTATGAAAGTCGAATCAAAGCCACCACTACAAACGAGTGTGCATGCCGCACATCTTCTTTGGCTGTGTCCACAGCCATATGTACAGTTCACCCTGCGACATCAACCTCCCTCCGCAACTTGTCTGGTGTGCCCGAAAGGGGTGCATGCGTTCCCAACTCCCCCTGGTCATCTCTATCTGTTACTCTCGCTCTGTATCATATTTGCCAATGCCCGTAGCAGGCAGCGTCCAGAGTACACCCTCGGATAAGATACTCTGCATGACTGGTGCTCTGAGTAAGCACTGCCAGCCTCACTCATTACTTCCTCACATTTGAAAGCAGGACAAACAAATCTCCAAGATATCATTTCCAGAATCGCGGCTCCCACATCTACCCTCCCACTCGGATATCTTTCAATCCAGTCTGAGGACATGAGGCAATGCGAGATCCGGATCGTGCAGTTGAATTCCGAGATTTCACCTCTCTCTCTCTCTCTCTCTCTCTCTCTCTCTCTGAGAGGCCACCCCCACAGCCAAACCATGACTGACCAAGCGAACCTGTATGTACACAAGGGACAGCACTATGTAGACCAGTTCACCCCATGGAGCAACCCGTATGCCTGCACTCCATTTGAGAACCTCCGAAGAGTCACCCCTATCAAAGAAACATCCCTGTGGCTAACAAGAGGATTATATTATATATATGATCATCCCCCTTCCACAGGGAAAGGATCTTACCGACATTCAATACCAACTTATAAACACCATTCAACTATTCACAGCTGCAGAGAACTGTCCGGCTTGCAGACCATATCTACAGCAACACCATTCACAGCAAAACAAGTACCACTAAGCATGTATACAGCCAACAAACAGGTCATTTACATCACCAGCCCCAAGAATCGACAAAAAGAATCTGTACAAAGATTGAACCCAGCGGTCCCATACCAACCTTTTCAACCGCACTCATCATGATCTCTTGTATCTGCTACATCCCCTGCAGCACCAACCAGATGGACTACCAACCAACCTTCCACTCGCGCTGCAAAACCAGCCTGCAGATGCAGCAGATGCCCTTTCAGTTGTGCGCAGTTCAAACTTCAAAGTCTGGATCACCACGAAAGAGAACCCTCAAAATTCTGCAGCATCACCCCCCCACCCCACTTGCGTACCAGCTCAGGGAAACGAACCAATGGACTGTACCTTCCTATTCAGCACGACATACTTTCCAAAGCTTGGGGTACAAACAGTAAGCTACACTAAGGAGACGGCGACAGCACCCCGACAGGGTAAATTACTGCCACTGCCACACATTTCGTGGAAAGATTTGTTCGCAGTAGTAGTAGCAGTCGTGTGAAATCAACCACCGTAGCTACACAACCACTTATCAATTTCTAGCACCTACAGGAAACCATTATCCAGTCCCACGCACCTCGTCAGCAGAGTCAATCATCCTCCAACAGGCAGCACAGTGCTGGCCACAACACGGAAGGCTCACCTTGAAAAACCCATCCCAGCTTCCAGAGGACCAGATCTCCTACGCAGCCTGAACTTCTACCACGAGGGAGTGAGCACAACCTCTACCTGCTTTGAATGCAACGGACGGTACTCAAAGACTAAGGCTCCGCTGAAAGAGGGGGGGGGGGGGGGGGGGGGGGTCAGAATCTTCAGCGTTTTTACCACTTCAGAATTTTCAAAATCTTCACCGTTCCTACACACTCGGACAAGGGGGGGGGGGGGGGGGGGGGGGGGCACTGGACGGCAACCCCTTGTGCGTGAGAGCTGCCAGCAGCTTTGCAATTCGTCAAACCTCCACCCATATCATCTATACTGGTGGAACAGCATCACACCAAAAAGTCCTGGGAATCCATGGATGTTGCAGATGTGCTGTAGCGGAACTTAACTCTCGAGTACTTCTGCTCAAGGTTTTGCAGCCTGCACATCTGTTCAGGGCGGCCGCTCCAAGCTCGCTGAAACTTACCCGTGCAGACAAAAACGTTTCTCAGAGAAGGGCTCTCGTCAAGAAAGAGAGACAGAACCTGCACCGTGACTTCCCGGACACTCTCAAGCTGAAGAAGCAGCCGTTCCAATTTTGGCAGACAGCTCATGGCCTCAAAGTTACTCGTAGAGTCATGACAAGCCTTAGGGCTGGCATCATTATCGTGGAAATCTGTGCTGCTAGGGTTCCTAGCAGGCTTCTTCTTAAGGCCGTTGGTCACCTCTTTGTCGCGCGCCCCCCCCTCTGTTGCCAGCTTTGCACCTTCACTCTTCCCACAGCCCGTAGCAGCGTCCTCCTTCTTCGCACACTTCTGACCGATGCTTTTGCTCAGCAAAATGAAGCCCCTCTCCAAACTCCGCACAAAGTCGCTAGACTCTATTGAAAGAGTCCGCAGCTCATGGAAGTTCCGACAGAACTGGAGTGGATGTATGGGTATCGGTCTTTTACCTGGCATGGCATTCCTTGAACTGTACACCACATTGCGGAAGATTCCTCCCGCTGGATACCCCGGCAGGCTGTTGACCCTATCTTCCTCATCCTCAAAAAACTGGACGCCCCACGTCAGCTTCTGCAAGCTGTCGTTGAAGCGGCTGAGGATGCTGTCCCACGTCTTCCAGTACCCTCTACCATTATCCGCTCCTGACTCCAGGTTGGCACGCATTACGAGCGTTTCCAGAGTCTTCACCTCGGGACTTAGCTCCAAATCCAAGGTGGCGAACCACACATTCGCCTGGAGGTGTTTCAGTTTCCCTCCACCTACAAGGGCCACCGAGTACGTCCCATGAACGGTGAGTTCCAGAATCTCCAAATTCGGTGCCGTGATGACGATTTTCTGTTTGTGATCGTGTCTCCCCGCGTCGGCGGAAGGATCCAGGGCGGGGCCATACATTGGAACCATGCTGAGCACCAGACGCTTCAGAGACGGCCCAGGAAAGTCGATGACGTTCCTAAACTGCCCGCAGACTAGCTCAAGCATGAGAGTCTCTAGACGAGGCATGGAAGCGAGCATCGCGCTGAGATCTGCCTGCCATTCCACAACAAGCTGCGTCACCTTCAACTCGGTAAGGCGCTTGAAAATCCCAAGTGGGGGATTGTTGCAGGGGCCTAAGCGCAACCGGCCAACCGACAGATCCAAAACCTCTAGGGTGCTGCAGTACCGCAGGACCATATCGAGATTCGCAATCGTGCAGTCAGAGTCCCGGGCAAGGGACTTCTCAGTGTGGAGCTTCAGGCTGCGCAGCATGCCCCCTGCATGTTTCAGCCATATTTCCACTGCCTCCTCCGAAACCTCCGAGTATTCAACATCGCTCACCACAGTCAAAGACTGCAGGTCTGTCATTTTCATCACCGTGTCTGTGACGATTTCCTCGAAATCATCCCACATGCTGTAGCAGCACCTTCGACGCCCATCCTCCCCTTCAAAGGTCTCACTAGAACCGAAGCGGACATCTGGCACCTGATTGGATCGAAAAGAACGCAGACAACCAAACAAAGCCGTCAGAAATGACTTGGCATTGCACTGATGGTGAAGGGTGGAGCAAACCATCGGTCACACCGCGCCAACTGTTATACCTCCGAAAAGCAACATCTCACATGCTTGACAGTGGCAAACATGCAGCCAAGAAGCCCAAAGTTCCAAACTCGCAGAGTACTGAAAACCGCAAAACCAGAGGGCATCCGGACGAAATGAAGCACAAACAAACCGACCCGCTGACAAAGCCTTTCTAAGTACTTTCATTTGATTTGTTGTGTAATTGTAATATAAATATTATTGTATATTGATTATATATGATTATATATGATTATATATTCGTCACAAACAGAACTGCCCGGTAAACCGTAGGCAGAGAGAGAGAAGAGGACAACAAACGAGGGGCTGTGACAAACTGTTTCGTCGGAGTTTCACCGACTCATCAGGAAGCTGAACGTTGTACAACATATTCTGATTATTATTATATCTTATTATTTATCTTATATTATACTGCATGAATTGCATTCTTTAAACACGAAAGCAATCACTGCGCGCGCCTACACGCGAGCAGCCCCTACACACATAATAACATGCATGAATGAACTTAGGCAGAAACGAGGCCGAGGCGGCAAAATGGGCCGAAGAGGCAGAAGGCAGTCAAGAAGGGGGACGTACCCACGGCTCTAAGATCACAGTGGTATTCAGAAACGGACTCGCACGTACCATCTTCCCCCGTCTAGAACGTATGCTCATTATGGGTGGATCCAGACTGAAATTTGTCCAAATGCAGGCATAATGACCGTGCGCCCTATTCGGTGGGGACGACAGCAGTAACATTATCATTGACAGGGATCAACGACGATGATACTCCGCACATAGTCAAAACATGAACTCGACAGAAAACGGGCCGATGCGGCAGGATTCCACATCAGTATTGAGAAACAGACTTGTTTGTGGTTGTTGCTTTATCAATGCTAATGACAGTTACAGACTTGTAAAGAGTTTCTAG